TCTGTTACCCAATTCTTAAACCATGCCAGTATTTTACCACCAATCTCATGTGCTTTAAAATTGCATAAACCTTTCACACAGGACTTAATCAAAGGATTTCTGAAAATCCAAAAACATAACATCTCTGCTTCTCCTTATCTATTCAACTAGTTACATCCTCAAAAGGCTCCAGTATGTTTCTTAAATATGATTTCCCTTTCATAAATCCATGTTAATTTTATCTCATCTCGTTGATAATTTGCTAAGTGTCCTGTTATCCTGATGTTTATAAGAAACCCTCGCATCTTACCTACTACAGAAGACACTCTAATCAGTCTGTCTCTTTCTTCCTCTCTTCCGCTTTTGTTATCTTGCAATTTGTTATGACTTCTCCAGAATTTGGAAGATGTCAAACAACACATCCATGACCATTCATCATATAAATTATCAAGCCCTAGGAATTTATCATCTTTCAGTCCCATTGATTTCTCCAGAACTACTTAGGTTTATTGCTTTACTTTCAGTCCTCCTTCTTAATAGACCCTTCCTTCCCTTGCATTGCTGGGATGCCATTTGTGTCTTCTTCTGCGAAGACAGAACTGAAATATTTTATTACAAGAAGAACAAAAATAAATAACAGTTTGAAAGATCATAACACAAACATTGAAATGAAGTTTCAAACTATTTCCCAACTTGCCCATTAGAAACATTCAAGTCCGGAGAAATTCTGCTCCTGCCACAACTCTAAGTACCTACTTAATTGACTCATCTAGTTTCCCTTTCTTGAATTGGAAGCAATTTTACAATGCAGCTTCAGGTTTGATTGCATGAACCTTTCACAATTCTAATGTCTAAACATTTTCAATTCTGACAACATCGAGATTTTTAACCCAAACTCTCCTGGAGAGGAACAGTTCACAAACTAGCAACAATACACTGCTACCTCACTAACTGGCTTCCTCTGATGCGCCAATGGGCCAAGGATTGGCAGATGGAGTTTTATTCAGATAAATATGAGGTGTTGCATTTTGTTAAGGCAAACCAGTGCAGAACTTACACAGTTAATGGTAGGACCCTGGGAGGGCTTTCAAACAGAAACACCTAGGGGTGCAGATGCACAGATCCTTGAAAGTGGACTAACAGGTAGACAGGATGGTGAAGAAGACATTTGGCATGCTTGCCTTCATTGGTCAGTGCACTGAGTATAGGAGTTGGGATGTCATGCTACAGCTGTACAGGACATTGGTGAGGCCACTTTTAGAATATTGTGTTCAATTCTGGTCTCCTTGCTGCAATAGGAAAGATGTTGTTAAAATTGAAAGGATTCGGGAAAGATTTACAAGGTTGTTGCCAGGATTGGAAGGTTTGAGCGACAGGGAGAGGCTGAATAGGCTGGGGCTTTTGTTCCTGGAGCATCAGAGACTGAGGGGTAACCTTAAAGAAGTTTATAAAATCATGAGGGCATGGTTAGGGTAAAAAGCCAAGTTCATAGTGTCATGGAGCCATACAATATGGAAACAGATACTTTGGTCCAACCACACCGACCATTTCCCAAACTGAACTAGTCCTGCCTGCCTGCACTTGGCCCATACCCCTCCAAACCTTTCTGAAATATGAACTTATCCAACCATCTTTTAAACATCGTAACTGTAACTGCATCCACCACTTTTTCTAGCAGTTTCATTCCACACACAAACCACTCACGGTGTAAAAAAGTTGCCCTTCATCTCCTTTCTAAATCTTTCTCCTCTCACCTTAAAAATTTGCCCCTTAGTTTTGAACGCCCCCACCCTAGGAAAAGACCCTTGTCATTCACCTTATTAATGCCTCTCATGATTTTATAAACACCTATAAGGTCATTCCTCAGCTTCCAACGTTCCAGGGAAAATAGCCCCAGCCTGTTCAGCCTCTGCCCATAGCTCAAACCCTCTAATCCTGGCAACATCCTTGTAAATCTTTTGTAGGTTTTTTTCCCCAGGGTGGGGGAGTCTGAAACTACAGGGCATAATTTTAAGGTGAGGGGGGCAAGATTCAAAAGGGACCTGAGGGATAACTTTTTCACACAGAGGGTGGTGTGTGAATGGAATGAGCTGCAGAAGGAAGTGGTGGAGGTGGGTATAATTACAACATTTAAAAGGCATCTGGATGGGTACATGAATAGTAAGGATTTAGACAGAAATGGGCCAAATGCTGGCAAATGGGACTAGTTCAGTTTAGGATATCTGGTTGGCGCAGATGAGTTGAACCGAAAGGTCTGTTTCCATGCTGTATAACTCTTGTGACTCTCTGAACGGAACTGAACTAAAACCTGCCAGGAGAGAAACTGTTCTCTTCTCAACCCCACAAAACAGATCCTAGACTCACTACTGAATTAGACTCTTAATTCAACTCAACTAAAACTCTGGTAGGTTCTGAACTGAACTGAAAACAAAACTAATTAATTAAAACTAACTAATTAATTTGGTTGTAGACATGCTTGCCGAGCCAGTGGGTTTGGTCGCAAACATTTCATCACCCTGCTGGGTAACATCGTCAGTGCACATCGGTGAAGGGTCAGTGTTCTGTCCCGCTTGTTACTTATATGCCTCAGTTCGTTGGTACCACTTCCAGTTCTGTTTCTCAGTGGTTTGTATACCGGGTCTAATTCAATGTGCTTGTTGATGGAGTTCCAGTTGGAATATCAGGCCTCCAGGAATTCCCTGGCGTGTTTCTGTTTGGCTTGTGCGATTATGGCTGTGTTGTCCCAGTCCAATTCATGTCCCTCATTGTCCTCATTACGAGGCACACCAACATATAAGCTTGCCAAAGAACTACAACAGAAATTGAATTACTTAGTGGACAACACAACCAATTCAATCCACTCATCCCAAGAATTCCTCAACATCATCGAGGACACCAGGACAGAAGAGGACGAGATGATGATATCCTTCAAGGTAACAGCATAAACATCCATAAACATCGACCGAGTCAAAGAAACAATTGCCACACTACTGGACAAATCAAGTAGGCAGGCACCCCAGGACACCAACAACATCAATAAGGACACCACCATGAAACTACTAGATCTGTGCCTCACAACCCACTTCACCTTCAACGATGGCATAGGTAAACAAATCAACAGAACACCAATGGGATCCCCAATATCCGGACTGATTGTAGAAGCAGTAATGCAAAAGTCAGAACAGACAGCACTCCCCGCCATACAACCGAACCTTTGGGTCCGATATGTCGATGGCACCTTCGTGATTATCAAATGCACAAAACTAGAAGAAATCCACCAACAAAAAAACAACATCCTCACCAGGATAAAATTCACAAAAGAAGAAGAGAACAACTACTGACTGTCCTTCCTGTATACAATAGTAGAATGCAAAAACATTGGGAAACTCCAGACTAGCATATATAGAAAGACCACATATACAGACCCAGATACTCAATTACACTAGCAATGAGCCACAACACATTGCAGCAACCCAGAACTACGCAAAACAGAACAGAAGCACCTATACGGAGTCTTCCAAAGGAATGAATACCCGAAAAGGACAATCCGCCGTTACGTCTGACACAGACCACAACAGAAAGACATAACACAACCAGGCTCACTCATCACTCTACCATACATCAAGGACATTTCATAGGTGGCCACAAGACTACCCAGACCCCAAGGTACCAGGGTAGCCCACAAACCAGCAACCACCCAACGACAGCTACTGACAAACATAAAGGATCCCATACCCAAAACTAGCAAAAGCGGTGTTATATACAAAATACCATGCAAGGACTGTGAGAAACACTACATAGGCCAAACCAGAAGAAAATTGACTAAATGGATACATGAACACCAACTAGCCACCAAGAGACATGACCAATTCTCACTTGTCTCACTACACATGGAGAAAGAGGGACACAAATTCGACTGGGACAACACAGCTATAATCGCACAAGCCAAACAGAGACACACCAGGGAACTCTTGGAGGCCTAGTATTCCAACCAGAACTCCATCAACAAACACACTGAAATTGAGAAACAGAACTGGAAGTGGTACCATACAGCCCAACAAACTGAGGCATATAAATAACAAGCAGAACAGAACACCAACGCTTCACTGGAGGTGCACTGACGATGTTGCCTAGCAGGGTGACGAAACATTTCCAACCAAACCCACCGGCTCAGCGAACATGTCTAGAACCTCATCTGCAACCTGAGCTACAAATCTTCTCGAAAATTTTAAACGGCTTAATGTGTTTATATTGTCTGTCATGTAAAAGTATAATCATCTTAGTCCATTAGCATTACTCCATCAATATTCCAGGGGTTCTCCCATGTCCTTGATGCCAAATTAGAAATGCAACATGTAGATCCCTGCTCCAGAATAACTTTCTGACTTTTATTTTAAAAATCCAGTTGGATTAACCATGTGCCTCTCTTTTAAACAATCAAAATTCCAAAACTGACAATATTTTACACACTTTCTTCCAATGGTATTGCCACAAGAATCATTAGGAAAACGAAGATATCTCTTGTTGGTGATGGTTATTACCTGGCACTTTAGAGTCACAGAACATGCTGAAAAGACACTCTATATAGGAGCAGCATTGGACTCAGTAATTGGGAGAAGCTTGTTGTCTGTCATTCAAATTAGCAACAACTTGTCCATCATACTGCATCACACTTTTGAGTCACAAGATCTTAATGATGAGGCAGAGGAGATTTGATTGATTTGATTTATTCTCAGGTGTACCTAAGTACAGTGAAAAGTTTTGTTTGCCAGCAGCACAGGCAGATCACAGTAAGCAAGGACATATATACTGTAAGGAAAAAAAAGGATGCAAATCCTGCTGTCCTGATCTCAGTGCCTCATTAGGCACCCAGGTTTTGTGCCCAAGGATTAGTCACAGGAGGAGACTGGGCAGAAAGCAGCCTCCCTGGAATAGAGTCATTCCCAAAAAGAAGGAACAGCTGACAAAGGCCAAAAGGCATGAACACTGCCCAGGTCACACTGCATGGATACATGGCCTACCTCAGTATCTGAAGAATTCATTATTTATGATGTTCAGAGTTAGGCTATTAAGGTGCAGTTTGGAGACCACAATGGCTAACGTTCCAGTACTTTCCAAAACAGTGCAGTGTGATGATAAGATGCTCAAATGGATCAAAACCTGAGACAATTTGTTGAAGGAAGTAGTTTCTCAGAGAATCTTTTTTCCGCTCAGTGTTTTGTTCTCGAAGACTTTCTCCAACTCACGCTCGCGTGCACCACGCGGTCATTGGTTTCGAAAATAAAGGCGGCAACAAGTCAACCCACGCGCACACATGGTGCGGCGACTGTAAGGAAACACGCATGCGTAGTAACGGCATACCGACGGTTGAACGCATGCGTAGGGAGGTTGTTGACTTGCCGAGCTGGCTGTTGATGTAGGAATGGGCCGAGCCGGCTGGCCGGCAGTCGGCACATGCGTGATCGTGACTTGCTCCATCTTTGGGAAGGGGCGGGAGACCGCGCATGCGCAATGGGTGCTAGTCTGCTGAGTACATTGGCCCAAAGCCCTAACATAAGAACTAGGAGCAGGAGTAGGCCATCTGGCCCCTCGGGCCTGCCCCACCATTTAATAAGATCATGGCTGATCTTTTTGAGACTCAGCTCCACTTACCCACCCACTCACCATAACCCTTAATTCCTTTACTGTTCAAACATTTATCTAGCCTTGCCTTAAAAACATTCAGTGAGGTTGCTTCACTGGGCAGGGAATTCCACAGATTCACAACCCTTTGGGTGAAGAAGTTCCTCCTGACCTCAGTCCTATATCTGCTTCCCTTTATTTTGAGGCGATGCCCTCTAGTCCTAGTTTCACCTGCTAGCGGAAACAACCTCCCTGCCTCCATCTTATCTATTCCCTTCATAATCTTATATGTTTCTATAAGATCTCCCCTCATTCTTCTGAATTCCAATGAGTATAATCTCAGTCTACTCAGTCTTTCCTCATAATCCAACCCTCGCAACTCTGGAATCAACCAAGTGAATCTCCTCTGCACCCCCTCCAGTGCTAGTATATCCCTTCTCAAGTAAGGAGACCAAAACTGCACACAGTACTCCAGGTATGGCCTCACCAGGACCCTATACAGCTGCAGCATAGCCTCCCTGTTTTTAAACTCCATCCCTCGAGCAATGGCAGACAAAATTCCATTTGCCTTTTTAATCACCTGCTGCACCTGCAATCCTACTTTTAGCGATTCATGCACAAGGACACCCAAGTCCCTCTGCACAGCAGCGTGCTACAATTTTTTACCATTTAAAACATAGTCCATTTTGCTGTTATTCCTACCAAAATGGATGACCTCACACTTATCAACATTGTACTCCATCTGCCAGACCTTTTCCCACTCACTTAGACTACCTATATCCCTCTGCTGACTTTCAGTGTCTTCTGCACACTTTGCTCTACCACTCACCTTAGTGTCATCTGCAAATTTTGACACACCACACTTAGTCCCCAACTCCAAGTCATCTATGTAAATTGCAAACAATTTCGGTCCCAACACTGATCCCTGAGGCACACCACGAGCCACTGACCGCCAACCAGAAAAACACCCACTTACCCCCACTCTTTGCTTTCTACTGGTCAACCAATCCTCTATCCATGCCAATACATTACCTGTAATACCGTGCAACTTTATCTTATGTAGCAGCCTTTGGTGTGGCACCTTGTCAAATGCCTTCTAGAAATCCAGATACACCACATCCACAGGTTCCCCATTGTCCACCATGCAAGTAATGTCCTCAAAGAATTCCACCAAATTAGTTAAACATGAACTACCCTTCATGAACCCATGCTGGGTGTTCCCAATGGGACAATTTATATCCAGATGTCTTGCTATTTCTTCCTTAATGATAGATTCAAGCATTTTCCCCACTACCGCAGTTAAGCAAACTGCCTATAGTTACCTGCTTTTTGTCTACTTCCTTTTTTAAACAGTGACGTCACATTGGCTGTTTTCCAATCTGCGGGAACCACCCCAGAGTCCATGAATTTAGGTAAATAATTACTAGTGCATTTGCTATTTCCCCCATCACCTCTTTTAGTATCCTGGGATGCATTTCATCTGGGCCAGGAGACTTGTCTACCTTTAGTCCCATTAGCTTGCCCAGCACTGCCTCCTTAGTGATAATGATAATTTCTAGGTCCTCACCTGCTATAACCTTCTTGCCATCAGTTTTCGGCGTGTTATTTGTGTCTTCCACTGTGAAGACCAGCACAAAATATCTGTTTAATGCCATGGCTATTTCCTCATTCCCAGTTATTAAATTGGCCTTCTCATCCTCTAAAGGACCAATGTTTACCTTCGCCACACTTTTACGATTTACATATTTATAGAAACTTTTGGTACATGTTTTTATATTCTGAGCTAGTTTACTCTCGTAATCTATCTTACTTTTGTTTATAACTTTTTTTGTGGCTTTTTGTTGGCCTTTAAAGATTTCCCAGTCTACTAGTTTCCCACTAATCTTTGCTTTTTTTATATGTGTTTTTTTTTTCAATCTGATACTTTCCTTTACTTCCTTAGACGTCCATAGCTGACTATCTCTTTTCCTACAGTTCTTCCTTATCACTGGAATATACTTCTGCTGAGCAATGTGAAAAATCATTTTGAAAGTCTTCCACTGTTCCTCAATTGACCCACCATAAAGTTTTTTCTTCCATTCTACTTTAGCTTACTCCTCCCTCATTCCTTCATAGTCTCCTTTGTTTGAGCACAGGACATTGGTACTGGATTTAACCTTCTCACACTCCATCTGTATTTTAAATTCGACCATACTGTGATCGCTCCTTCCAAGAGGATCCCTAAACAGTTCCTAAATCAGAAGGGAAACCTTTCAAGATTATGAAATATGCAAGAATAATCAATTGCTGTATTTTCTTCCAAACCCAAATAGAGATTGAGAGTTTGTTCATCTGATGATTTGGTTTGGCTGAAGATTGGCACTGAATCTTTCAAAAATTACATAGAAGATTGGATTGCTGTTCCCAGCTGTTAAATGGATCCAATTCTCGAACTCCTGCCACAAAAGAATCTCACTGACTGTCTCTTCATTACCTGTGTTCTGGAAACTATCGAAATTTTACTTGTGTTTCTACTTAAATTTCTCAAATACCTCTGCCTTGTCAGCCTCTTCAATCCTTCCTTGGATGTAGGTTCGATATTGTGCCAAAAAACATTATACTCAGCCTTCCTTCTGGCACTCATGTGGGTCATTTTTCAAATCACCAGTAAAATATATTTTAAATGTTTTTGCTTTACTCACAGACATGCACTGGAGCTATGGTATGTCAATGTATTGTGTGTGCATGATCACACTTCTAGATTCAGGCAGTAAGAACTGTACCTTGTTTATTCAGCAGACCTTTTGCAGGGGAGAAACAGATTGCACCAGACCCATTCACATTGGTCTTCTTGCAATGTGCTTATCAAAGCGTAGCTGTGAAGATGTTCAATACTAAAACCCGTCACTTATACATTACTTTAGTTCCTTGATTTAATATATAAATACGTGTGCGTGCAAAATATATAACAGTGACTGTTCTGGGTGTTTGAAAGAGTGCAACATGGATAAGTTAGGAGGGTTAATCCCTCTCCCCAGCTCTTTCCCCATTGCCCTGTAAACTGATTACCTTCACGTTTGGGTCCAATTGTCTTTCCTCTGCTTTCTGAGAGTGAAGCAGCAAAACAAATTAGGCAAGAAGTGAAGAGATGACAGTAACAGTTTATATCTGTGAGTTACTCAATATTGCACGAGAGTAAAATTGCATCATGACTTTGCAAGGAGGTGCCTAAATCTATGGGTAAACATTTAATGAACTTACTGATAATTAAACAATTTAAACAGGAAAATTGGCAACTTTGAGTAACTTGATTAAATTTCTAACATTTGTGACCACCCCAGCATGGTTGGGCTTGCAAATCAGTGCACTTTTCTAAGTGGGCCTGCCCCAGGCAGTCTGAATGACCACATCTCCAGAAGGTGTCACCGATTTGATTAGGTTCAGCACTGGGGTTTGGGATTTGATGTTGGGGTTTGGAGTTTGACACTGTGGTTTGGGATTTGACACTGAGGTTTGGGATTTGACACTGGAGTTTGGGATGTGACACTGGAGTTTGGGATTTGGCACTGGAGTTTGGGATTTGACACTGGGGTTTGGGGTTTGACACTGGGGTTTGGGATTTTACACTGAGGTTTGGGATTTGACACTGGAATTTGGGATTTGACACTGAGGTTTGGGATTTGACACTGAGGTTTGGGATTTGACACTGAGGTTTGGAGTTTGACCACTTTTGCCCTTTTCACCTGACTTAGGCTTTTTCCTGATGAAAAATCTCGAGGTGCTTGACACCAGCCTAAATGCTCGTCCTCCACTTGAGACAGTCTTAGGCTAGTGATTTCCAGGTGTCTGTGGGAATGTTGCACTTCACCAATGAGGCTTCGAAGGTATCACTGAAACTCTTCCCCTGTCCCCACCTGGGGCTTGCCTGCCGTTTCGAAGCTGGGAGGAGAGCACCTACTTGGGGAGTCTCATGTTGGTCATGTGGACGACATGCCCAGCTCATCGTGGCCGATCAAGGGTGATCAGTACCTTGTTGCTGGGGATATTGGCCTGGTCAAGGACGCCTCTGTTGGTGCATCTTTCTTCCCAAGAGATTCCAAGTGGATGTTTTATAGAGCTGGGGTGGCTCCTACCCTCCTACATGGCTGTGAGACATGGAAATTCTACAGCAGACAGGTCAAGGCACTGAAGCAGTACCATCAACACTGCCTGCGCAAGATCCTGTAGCAATTCAAGCAGACAGTTCACCACCAACTTCTCAAGGGCACGACAATAAATGCAGGCCCAGCCAGCAATGCCCATGTCCATTGAATGAGTAAGAAAAAGAGTGGATTAAGGAATATTATGAGTTTTCCTGCTGATATATGTCTGCCTCCACCAGCAACGCTCAGTAGCAGCAGTGTGTACTATGTGCAAGATGCACTGCAGAAATTCACCAAAGATCCTCAGACAGTACCTTCCAAAC